ACTTCACTTATATAAACGGAGTGTGTATTTGAGTTTAAAACACAAGCATATTCAGTTCGAATGGCATACGGCATATTCACGGTGCAGCGGAAAAAAAAATGAGCGTGTAATATATATATGCACACATATATTGAGAGCCTCAAGAACATCTCGGCTCTGATGCCAATGTTAGAAAAATTGGAGAATGGATCGAAAACATACCGGGTCGGATCTCGGGTCGGGTCGGTCGGATCTCCTTAGCTCACGCTTAAGCTAGACTATAAAAGTCTGAGCTTTTAAGTGCACAGCAGAGCACCACTTTTGCAAGAAAGAAAATTAAGAGAGAGAGAGAGATAGTAGGAAAGCTCTACTACTGGAGTGATTTGAACTGATGGGGGGAAGCCTCTATTTATAGCTTTTGTCAGGGATATTTTGGGTAGCATAAAAAATATCCACTGAGCCCATCAGATAAAATCTGAGATAAGATATAATATATCCTTATCTCATAATATCATGATATTTTGAATTCAAATCCAGAATCAATCTTAATTAATTCTAAATATATATACTTAATATATATTTAATCTATACAATATAAATTAATTAATTTAATATAAATTAATTAGATTTATATCGTAACCGATTGGATATGATTCAGGATATTTGACCAAGTCAAACATATCATGATATCGCTTGGATATTTGACTGATATATTCTCTTTATACCGGGTCAAATAATCCGGCCCATCAAGGGCGGATCCAAGCCCAAAAATCTAACACCCCCGGAAACAAACATTTGAGTTTTAGTTTGTAAAGTTCTTCAGCACTCTGGACAGAGAAGACCTGCAAAGGAAAAACTTCCATGGCAAGATGAAAATTATAAGTTTGACCCTTTGTAAGTAAGTCAATAAGGTATAGAGAGAATGAAGAGTTGAATACTTGAATGTGGTACTACATTCTTTATCTTCCTTCGTCCCACCTTCCTCATATCTATTTGTAATTTAATTTTTAGCAGAACTGTTTGGGGACGTACTTCAACATTTTTTAGATCATTTTTCAGATTCATGTGCGCGCCACCGGGGGACTTGCCAAATTTTTCTTGTGTACCGTTATATTCAATTTCATGCGCATTTTACAGTCCTTGCATGAAATTAATCTCCTGTGTGCATCGTACCGTGGAGAAGGAAAATTTGATGGTGGCAATTCAATAAAAGAAGGTCGAGAAAAAATTCAGCTTAATCAATAGACTAGTTATGCATTTAGAAGTTCAGCTTAATCAGCAGACTACTTATGAATCCATCCACTATAATGATGAATAAAATACCACGCTCCTAGCCACAATAAATTAAAAGCCACCATTGAGCATAGCCTCACTGCAAAAGGTAAGATCAATGCCAAATACTATAGACTCAAATTGGGCCTTCAATATTGGAAAGTTTCCAAATAACGTATTTCAATTCTGAAGGAGCCGTGCTGATTTCTTTGCTAAAAAGAGTAAAAGACCTGCCGATATTAAACTTTAGGAAGACAAATCATCATATCTGATAACCTTTGCCTTGAACAATTTTTAAATTAATTAAGCTAAGGCGGATAAATATATCTATATCTATATATATATATAATCATCAGGCCCCATTGATCGGCATTGGCCCTGGTGCATTTGATTAATTTTGGCCAGCTGTATACATATTAATGCATGCTTTTTCTACTTAATTATTATTACCTTTAAAACAATAGAATCATTAGAGTTATGACATGAATTAATTAATTAAGGTGATCAGAATCAAGAAACGCCTCTTGACCCAAGCCAAATACTGCAGACCCTCAGCTTAGCTAATGCGGTGGTTTTCGTCCACGTCTAGTTATTGAAATGAATGAAGACAACCAAGTGGTGCCACCACCGTAGTTTGTTTTTCTCTGCATGATGTTTCGACTTATCTCTTTCACTTCTTGTTTTGGAAACACTAACAAGTGGAAGCAGTTCGAGAAGACTCACAGTGAAGAAATCGGAAAGCAAGCGAAAAACAAGACATCATGGGATTGCGAAGAAGTTACACAGTAATGGAATAAGCTAAGAGACAACTAAGCCTGGCACTTCCTCTCTTCTCGGTGGGTCTCTTGCAGTACAGTTTGCAAACCATCTCTGTCCTATTTGTTGGTCATCTTGGCACCCTTTCTCTCTCTGCTGCTTCCACGGCCACCTCCTTCGCTTCTGTCACTGGCTTCAACTTGCTGGTAAATGCATTCCTTCTCACTTTTACCATCAAAGAAGGACATCATTGTCAAACTTCTTCATCATGCATTTTTTGAGATTATTCCTCGGTAACTTTTCCCTGAATCCTATTCTCGGATCGATTCACTTCTTGAAAATTGTTAACTTTGTTGGAGGACAAGATTCAAAGATCAAGTAATTCAGGTGTTTAAAGACCAAAGAGTTCATTTGTCCTGAACTTTCTGAGTTTTGAATAATCTCGGAAGGAACGTTTCTCTGATCTTTGAGGTACCTTGGCAATGGCAAGCGACTAATCCAAGGATCTTTGTTGATAAGTTTTTTTCGGTTTTCGGCCAAATGCTGCTTGTGTTGTTAATAAATATGTTGCTGTGTCCTTTGCTTTGCATGCCATGGGAGAAACAACAACGATTTTGGAACATGAGATATTTGGCATTTTCCTGAAGTGTTGATACCCGACCACATGACCTTTTCAATACTATTAACTGTATATGGAATTTTTTTCTTCGCATGTTCTGAACTCCCAATGTCTTTTGACTGCTTGCAGGGTTTATTTAATATATGAACTCCGAATAAATCGATAACCAGTTTATCATCTCATGCACAGAATATTATCATAATGATAAATAATGAAAATTTGTTGGGAAAAGAAACGAGTGTATACATATGATTGCTGAGTAAAATTGATACTTGAAAATAGAGTCTATCGCAAAAAAAAAAAAAAAAAAACAGAAAAAACATGGTGTTGAAGTTTATTACTCACGCAAGTTCTAAATATCATAGATCTGTCTCTCTTTGAGGCCAAGATAAAAAAATGCATTTACAACACAAGTTGGTCTCCTTAAAATTAACAGTTTCAATTTTTGAGACAAGTTAAGAGAATCAAACATCTCTTTGTTTTCTTTTCTTTTCTTTCTTTCTCTAAACCACTTTAGTTATCTGTTGACTTAATTTGTGATTAACTGAACAGATGGGATTAGCTAGTTCCCTGGACACCTTCTGTGGTCAATCATATGGAGCAGAACAGTACCACTTGCTAGGCATACACATGCAAATATCCATATTCGTTCTTTCATTGAGCAGTGTGCTCCTTGCAATAATCTGGGCTAACACAGAACAAATTCTTGTGTCTATGAAGCAAGATAAACTCATATCAAAAGAAGCAGGATCATATGCCTATTGCATGATTCCTAGCATATTCTCATTTGGCATCCTTCAATCCCTTATGAAATTCTTGCAAACCCAGAACATTGTCTTGCCCATGATGATAACTTCTACGGTTGCGGCTCTGCTTCATGTCATGTTTTGTTGGCTTTTGATTTTCAAATACGGACTTGGAAGTCGAGGAGCAGCCATAGCAATTTCTGTGTCTTATTGGGTAAATGTGGTATTAATGGCACTGTATATGAGGTTCTCCTCTTCCTGCAAAGAATCATGGACGGGCTTCTCAAACAAGGCGCTCCACAACATCCTTGACTTCCTTAAACTGGCTGTTCCATCAGCTGTTATGCTCTGGTATCAGTTTCAAGTCACAGTTAAGATTGTGATTGTGTTTGATTTGGTGTTGTACGTTGATGTTTGTCTTTGAACTTTGGACAGCTTGAAAGTTTGGACGCTTGAGCTGATGGTACTATTGTCCTTAAAATTAAAGCAAAACGTGTGAAGGTGATGTAAATTCGAGTATGGTGTATATATGGCCAGGCATCGTGAGAGGGTGTGGATGGCAGAAGATTGGGGCGTACGTGAACCTGGCATCCTTTTATCTTGCTGGGGTTCCTTGTTCTGTGATATTAGCTTTCCTTGTGCACATGAATGCCAAGGTGAAATTAAACTAGGATTAATACACGTAAATAGTAAACTATTGTTTCTTCATTTGGTCATTGTTTTGCTGTATCATTCTGAGCACAATTCTACAATTGTTTGTGTTGGCTGAAACAGGGGCTGTGGTTGGGAATCGTAGTTGCTTTTGCACTGCAAGTGGTATTGTTCATTGTCATCACAGCTCGCACTGATTGGGAAAAAGAAGCAAGGCAAAGAGCTCCATCGTTTATAATTATACACAAACGTTTCTATTTATATGTGTATACATATATTTATGTATAACCTTGGGTCTGTGTGCATATGCATATGTATGCTATGGTTTGCTTCCATATACAAGGTAAGGGATTTGTTGTTTTTTGTCTTCAGGCAAAGGAAGCTCAGAGTAGAGCAGTGTGTTCAAGCATCTTCCTCACAGGCGCTGTACCAAGTGATCAAATATTACCATTGCACATATAAACCAGCCTTGTTGGGCCAAGATATCCTATATTGAATTTAGTTTTACCTCATTTTGTATCAAGCCTTTTAATAATTGCCGCATTGAGATGTTGAGTTGATTCGCTTAATTAATGTCTAGTTTTAATTTTACATGTCAATATGAAAATATATTAAGATACTCATTATATTTTAAAATTTAAAATTTTTACGTAATTATTTAGAAATTTGAGATTCAGAAATTCATAATACAACGTAAAAAAGAAAAAAAGATTAAGGGAAACAATTGAAATTGGCCAAAGAATAGCGTAACTTTTAAGTTAGAAACAATTATTATAATAAAATATAAATACAAATGAAGAGGTATTCGATTGAAAAAGAAAGAATACAATGTTAACCTCTGGAGATGTCTCCATTTGTTTACTTTACCACCACAGAACCGGGGTACTATTCGGCAAAACTGCTTCGGGCCGTGATATTTATTAACATGAGAAGCATTAACTAAATTAGACCAGATAAACATGTTAAACTGAGGATTGGGGGGGTGCGCCTGGCCCTTGCTGTAGTGCAACGCAGGGGCGACGCTCGAGGATCCCAGTAGCAAGCTACCGTAATGGACCCTCCCCCTAAAAAAATAAATTTAATATCATGTGAGCCAATGGCCCACGTATCAGATATTAAACTGATAAGAACAGATACTACACTTGATTTTAGCCAAAAGGCCGAGAAAGGTATGCCTTGTTAAGTGCATTTGTTAATATTTTATATCCGCCCTTTGCCTAGAAACTATGGTATCTAATCAATGTGGGACTCGATAGCCGTGGCAGGCGGTCGTTTGCAACACTGATTCGGGATTTCATTTCGCCGTGTGCTTTCAACTTGACTCTCTGCTGGAATTTAAACTTGGCATTCTATAGATATATATATATATATATATATATATCATATATGTTTGTATATGATATATTTAAGTTTTGTTTGAATTCTACTATGTATTCATGATTACTACTTTCGGTTCTAATTATAAGAGCTAGTTGATTAATTTGAGTAGAGTAAAGAAAGAAGTTAAGTTAGTTATTTGTAATAGATATGTGTTCTTTTTTCTAAAATATCCTTGCTAATCAAATGTATTGGCTAAAATTATCATTGTTAGAAGCACTATCTTGAAAAAAATATATATAAATATTAGAGATAAGGTGGATAAATAAAAGTCAAACGAGGTCTTGTATTAAATATTCGAGATAGTATAATTTTGTTTGCAGAATCGTTGGAGATTGTCAGAAGAAAATTGTGAATGTACATGGCTAAAATATTTGATCCAAGCCAAATGCTGCAGACACTTAGCTCAGCAAGATCTAGTGGGCACGCCCAATATTGAAATGAATGAACTGTTCCTAACAGAAACTCCTTTATTATGTTGAGTTATCTTTCTCACTTCCTCTTTGGAAACGCTAATAAACATGAATGAAGAAATCAGAAACCAAAAAGAAGACATGACGGGCCTGCGAAGAAGACATAAGTTATTAGAAGAAGGCCAAAAACAACTAAGCCTAGTACTTCCTCTGTTCTCGGTGGGTCTCTTACAGTACAGTTTGCAAACCATCTCTGTCGTATTTGTTGGTCATCTTGGTACACTTCCTCTCTCTGCTGCTTCCATGGCCACCTCCTTCGTTTCTGTCACTGGCTTCAACTTGCTGGTAAATGCATTCTCTCTCACTTTTCCCATCAAACAACGTCATTATTATCAAACATCATCATCATTTATTTTCTGAGATTGTTCCTCGGCAACTTTCCCCGGGTCTTACTCTATGATCGATTCAGTTCTTGAAAATTTTTAACTTTGTTGGAGGACAAGATTCAAAGATCAAATAATTTAGGTGTTTGAACCAAACAATTCTTTTCTCCTGAGCTTTTTGAGTTTTGAGTGATTCTGATCCTTCAGGTACCTGCAATGGCATGGGACTGATCCAAGGATATTTGTTTTTCAATAGTATTCTTGAGCATATGATAAGACGGCTTCGTGTTCCCATGTTGTCGATAAGTTTTTTGGTTTCGGCCAAATGCTGTTTGCGTTGTTAATACTTATGTTGCTGTGTCTTTTTCCTTGCATGCCCACGGGAGAAACAAAGACGATATTTGAACATGAGATATTTGGCATCGTACTAAACTGTTAACACAATACACGACCGTCTAGTTTTTCCCATAACGTTATATTCCGTTTTCTGAACTTTTATATTGTCTTGCATTAATTATATATGGAATTTCTTCTTGGCATGTTCTGAACTCCCAGTGCCTTTTTGACACCTTGCGGAGTTTACTTGTTAAATATTTGAGACCTACTGATTAATCGAAAATTCGTTTATTATCTCATATTTAGAATGTCTTTATATTGTTTTTTTCACCTATAGAATGTCTTTATATTGAGAAATAAAGAAAAATTATTGTAGAAAATGATTGTAGACTATGATTTTGGGGTAAAATATAGAATTAAAAATTGGTGTTATATTGCAATGAAGAAAAACAAGAAAGAAATACAGTGTCTTTTTTTTAACCTTCAAATAGTGTCTAAATTATGTTACTCAAGCAATTTCTACATATCATAGATCCGTCTCTCTCAGGCCAAAGATAAACCAAATGCATTTAACATTCAAGCGAACCGGGTCTCCTTAAAATTAACAGTGTCAATTTTTGAGAAAATTTAAGAGAATCAAACAACACTCTTTTTTTCTTTCCTTTCTTTCTTTCTTCAAAATACTTTAGTTGTTTGTTGACTTAATTTGTGATTAATTGAACAGATGGGATTAGCGAGTGCACTGGACACCTTCTGTGGTCAATCATATGGAGCAGGACAGTACCACATGCTCGGCATACACATGCAAAGATCCCTGATCGTTCTTTCACTGAGCAGTGTGCTCCTTGCAATAATCTGGGCAAACACAGAACCAATTCTTATGGCTATGAAGCAAGATAAACTTATATCAAAAGAAGCAGGATCATATGCCTATTGCATGATTCCAAGTCTGTTCGCATTTGGCATCCTTCAATCCCTTATGAAATTCTTGCAAACTCAAAACATTGTCTTGCCCATGATGATAACTTCGGCAGTTGCAGCTCTGTTTCACGTCATTTTTTGTTGGCTTTTGGTTTTCAAATCTGGACTTGGAAGTCGAGGAGCAGCCATAGCAATTTCTGTGTCTTACTGGGTAAATGTGTTGTTAATGGCACTGTATGTGAGGTTCTCCTCTTCCTGCAAAGAATCATGGACGGGTTTCTCAAAGAAGGCTCTCCACAATGTCCCTGACTTCCTTAAACTTGCTGTTCCTTCTGCTATTATGATCTGGTATACGTTTCAAGTCACAGTTAAGATTGTAATTGTGTTTGATGTGGTAGTGTTGAACTTTGTTTTTGAACTTTGGACAGCTTGAAAGTGTGGACGTTTGAGCTGATGGTACTATTGTCAGGCCTTCTTCCTAATCCAACTCTACAAACTTCTGTGCTTTCAATATGGTCAGCTACCAAACCATAATTTTACCATGTTATTTTCCTAACCATGAGCAAGACAAGTTTCTGATTTATTATTGCAGCCTCAATATGTTCTCTGTAGCTTGGACGATCCCATTTGGTTTCACTGCTGCAGTAAGGTGATGATATATATAGTCTATATAGGACCAATTCTATGATGGTGAAAATCAGTTTTAACAAGAGGTGGTTGAATATGACAGCACACGAGTGTCAAATGAACTAGGGGCAGGAAATGCAGAAGCTGCAAGTTTAGCAGTTCGGGTGGTGTTAGGAATAGCCTTAAGCGAGGGTACGTTATTACTTCTACTGATGATTCTGCTTCGAAATCTCCTGGGACAAGTTTATAGCAATGACAATCAAGTAGTAAGACATGTGGCCTCCATGGTACCAGTTCTGGCCATTTCTAGCTTCCTTGATGCAATCCAAAGTGCCCTTTCAGGTCATTCTCGCATCTATATTTCTCATATTGTCCCGCAAAACACGACTCAAACTTGTGAAGGAAAAGTGATTTTTTGTGGTGTGACTATGGTTGGTCTATTTCCAGGCATCGTGAGAGGATGTGGATGGCAAAAGATTGGAGCTTACGTGAACCTGGCATCCTTTTATCTTGCTGGTGTTCCTTGTTCTGTGATATTAGCTTTCGTTGCGCACATGAATGCCAAGGTGATATTAAACTAGTAGTAATGCACACAAATACTACTATCTCTGATCTTAATTACAAGACTCCATTTGCAGTCTTATAAAACCTCATTTGTTACAAACAAGATCTTATAATTAGGACCAGAGGTAGTATGATTTATTTTGTTTATTGTTTTGTTGCATCATTCTAAGCATAAGTTAATTCTACAAACAAATTCATGTGTTTGTGTTGGGTGCGAAACAGGGGCTGTGGTTGGGGATCGTGGTTGCTTTTACACTGCAAGTGGTTTTTTCCTGGTCATCACAGTTCACACTGATTGGGAGAAAGAAGTAAGGCAAAGAGTTCCATAATTTATTTTATATTATATTATTTTATATATATATATATATATATATATATATATAAAAGCTTGTGTGTGTTTATGCACATTCGTTCGTCGATAAGGTAAAGGGGTTTGTTATTGTTTGTCTGCAGGCAAAGGAAGCTCAGAGTAGAGTGGAGTGCTCAATTATCTCCCTCACAGACACTGCACCAAGTGATCAGATATCGCCACCTGAATCACATGCAGCATAATTCTACCATACTAGCTAGTCTTGTTTTCCCACGTTGTATCAAGTTTTCTTATAATTAATGATTATGAAATTCGGATGTTAAGTTGATTGCCATGATTAAAAGCCGACCATAATTTTCTCATGTTAATATGAATAAATTAACGTTAGACCTTAGGTCTAGGTCTGTTCTTGATAGGCTAGACTATTTGATCAGAGGCCAGAGAATCTTTTTAGTCAAGTGAATCCTAATAGGAAAAGGAATTAAATCACCATTAATTCCTATGAGAGAATTAGGGAATAAGAAAAATGACCAATTAGGAAATTAATCAAGCATTAATTTTTTGATTGTGAATTGAGGGGCAAGCAGGAAATCATCTTACAATAAATGAGAGAGATTATACCTTTCTAATCTGAAACAATGATCACCCTGGCCCGATAAATAAGAAGTTTTTCTTTAACCTGCTCTTCACACAACTGTCGATTATCTTTTCTTTTCTCTTATTTTTCTAGTACATTTATTGTGACATTTTTATGAGCTCCGGAATCGGCTTGGTGTGGATTCTTACTATCTATTTCATTATTCTTCAATTAACATATCCATTATATTTGAAAATTTAATCTTTTTTATGTAATTCTTCTTCAAAATTTCAGATATGGAAGTTCATGAAACAAATATTAAGATTTTAATGATCGACTTCTTTTAAAAAAATTCAAAGGCATTTGAAGTTGTCAAATTTAAGTAAGGACAATATTGGAAAGAAGAAATAATTAAAAATTTTAGACATCAATTTACTTAACATGTTCTTTTAGTATTTATTAATAAGAAAATTCGCTCTTGGAATGAAAAGTTGAAAGAAAATCTTCAGCAAATCACTTTTTGAGGTTGCTTATGTGGACTTGAAAGAAAAGGCAGAAATCTATGAAGGTGGGGTGAAAAAAGATGAAAGGTTTTGAACTCCCCCTCGTTCTTGGTAGGTGGATGAACAATTGAAAATTCTAAATTCTAAAATCTTAAATAAGGT